CATAAACAGAATTAAGTTCTTTCTTGTTATTAGCAACAGCAGAAACGGTAGTTTAGACAAACAGTCTTTTATTGCCTATAGCCTATGTATTTCCAAGTTGATATAGCTGAAGTGGTTTCTTTTGGTAAACTTTGCACTCGACCATAACGCACTTAGTCGTGGTTATTAAAAGCTCAGGTCTGAGTTCTATGTAATTTCAGCATTGCAGGGGTTCCCATCTGCCTGCATTTTGAATGTCAATGGAGCTCTCACGGCGCATTTGCATGAGTGCTGGCGTAGTTTTGGCTCTGCATGAACACCCTCTGCAGTATTTAGGAGAAATTTATTCCACTGGTTAACTGGCCGTCCTTGTGGCTCGTTTCCCTGCGCCGCTGGAGGAAGGCCGCCTTTCGCTCTTCGATTCACCTTTCATTCCGAGGGACTCAGAGACGCTCGACCGGCTGCCGCTTGTAAATTCCAGTAGTTAGTGATGTCAACTTGCTGAAAACGAGGCGTCTGAGCCTGAATGAAGCCGGCGACAGCCAGGACGGGCATCAAGCAGCGGCGATGACGCTCCGTCAGACAAGCGCGAGCGAGGAGGTCATCGGATCCGCGAGATCGAAGGCGCGGACCCGCATTCCGCATAATTGCTTGTTTTCACACTCGGGCCGATCTCGTTTAAGAAATTAGTGTCTCGTGTCACTTCAACAGAGGCTTCTTGAAGCACCGCTCTCGTGGACAACAAAGTCCGATAAAAAAGGACACCCACTATAATTAGTCTTTTCTTCATATTAAAATGTCACAACACCATATCTCTGGTAATGACAATGATGCCACAGGCGGCGAGCCACAGGGCGTGCGGCGCCGAGGCGATCGGAGGCCCGTCAGCCCTTCGGCCGTCGCGCGCAAGGCCCAAAACGCTATTTCGTATCGACAGAGTTTGGTCCTTTGTTACATACGGTGAAACGATATGGTTGTTGTTCTGGTGTGTAGGGCAACATCAAAAACCTCCCTCGCTTTTTACAGCCATGACGAAGGTTTGAATAAAATTGATCGCGGAGTATTGTCGACCCGGTGATTAATTATATTTTGCCTCCAAATGAAACTTTGTATCGCGCGTTGCAAAACTTTTCGTCGCGTCGCCCTCCGGACTGACTCGCGCCGCTTCTATACGGAACTGATCGGCATCGCCCCTAAAGCACGGGGGCAGAAGGCCGACTTTCCCCTCCGCGGCCCTCGCCCTTCCAAGAAAACTTTGAGCGATGTATGCAGGACGGCGTTAAATGAAATCCAATACGGTGGAAGGCAGAGACGGAAAGAAAAAAGGAAAATGATTCATTCATTCTGCATCCATAAATCAACTGAAACGCCGAAGCTTTGATGGCACAACTTCTGACGAGATCTGAAAAAGGAGTTCATAAAAGATCACCAAAAGATCCTATCAGAATGTTGCTGCCGTCATTTGCATCCAACTTCTTTGGTGAATTTCTGCTCCTTTTGGAAGGCTGTTACTGCCCGCTCTCGCCACCCCGGCCAGCTGTTACGGGCTTCCAGGCAGCGCTGCGTTACGGGCGAACAGTCGGGTTTCCTCCAGTCATCGCAGGACTAAACAGTCTGCTTGTGTTCCAGTCTCGCCCCAAGACCTCGCAGGAACCACTCGAACTGTTGTCGATTGTTGCCAATAGCAGCTGGATGCGACTTGGAAAGGCTACTCGCTTGTCGAAGTGAGAGCCATTTAAGTTCTGGAAACCGTCTCTCGAGGCAAAAGGAGTCAACAGCCGACAAAGGGAAGGAAACTCCAGCAACAGCAGCACAGTCATGTAACGCTCGCTTTGCTTTCATCTTTTAATTCTAGATACATTATTCAGTTAATAAATGTGTGCATACAAACACGTCTGTCTCTCTACCTCCATATGCATATATAAATGTGTATATATATCTATCTATCATCTATCTATATATATATATATATATATATGTATATATATATACATTATATATATGTATATTAATGTATATACATACATACATTATATATATATATATATATATATATATAATATATATATTAATATATATATATAATATATATATATATATATATGTAATGTATGTATGTATGTATGTATGCATATTTGTGTGTGTTTCATTTCTTTTTCACGGTGAAAACAATCATGGTGTGTGTGTGTGTGTGTGAAAAGAAAAAAAAAAAGATATGGAACCCTCGGCAGAGCAAGCAGGGAACCCTCGGCAGGCAAGCAGGGAACCCTCGGCAGAGCAAGCAGGGAACCCTCGGCAGAGCAAGCAGGGAACCTCGGCAGAGCAAGCAGGGAACCCTCGGCAGAGCAAGCAGGGAACCTCGGCAGAGCAAGCAGGGAACCCTCGGCAGAGCAAGCAGGGAACCCTCGGCAGAGCAAGCAGGGAACCCTCTGCAGAGCAAGCAGGGAACGCCGGCAAGAGCAAGCAGGGAACCCTCGGCAGGGCAAGCGAAGACAAGCAGGGAACCCCCGGCAGGGCAAGTGAGGGCAAGCAGGGGGTCATGGCAGGGCAAGCCCTGCAGGGCCCCGGGGGCGGGAGGGGCCTTCGCCGAGCCACCGCGCAAGGCACATCCATCAGGCAGCCGTCACGAAATTATTTTTAGGCAATTGGAGCTACAGCTTAGCCTCCAATGGCCATTTTAGAACACCAGGCACGATGCATAAAATTCGAAATATATTAACCCGGGAGCGGAGTCATTCGTCAAACGCGTCGACAGAGCCTGACAAGAAAAATGTATTAAATTTTCACGAAAATGGAAAACGTATTCCCAAGAATGACTCGGGAAAAGGGGCTCCGGGCGTCTCGACTCGACTGCCGTTCGCTCGGAGGCCCAGGCGCTTCGAGGCCGGATGGAGGCCTACCTTTCCGCCTCAGTGTAGTTGTTTTGATGTGCCTCTTTTCCCCTTTCAGTCGTTTCCAGCTTTGCTTTTGTCGAATGCTATTACGAAATTGTACAGTTTGTTTACGTTAAATCAGAGCGTTAAAGAATACATACATCAAGTCATTGCATTCTTGTAAAGATTCCTCTAACCTCAACCAAGTCCTAATCATTGGCTCCCTGCTCGTGGCCAACCACCCAGAGGGAATAGGCAAGAGAGTAAAAGAGAGAAAGATGTCCAAAATACCCAAGTCTACCGCTCACTTCTTTAGAAAGGGAAGTTCATACGAGCTGTAGACATTTTCAATTCACTGACAGTAGTAATAAGTCTATACTTTCCCTTCTTTAGACTGCTATCAAAACCACTCTTAAAATCTCATCTCGATCTGTCTGCAGCTTTTGGCAAAATCCTACTGACATTACAAAAGACGTCATCAAAATCATAACCTCCTTGAAAGAAATGTGTAATATGAGGCTATCATGAAGTATATGTATATACATACGTGTATGTGTGTGCGTGTTTTTGTGCTTGTGTATGTATGTATGTATACGTATGTATATAATATATATATTATATATATATATCTATATATATATATATATATATATATATATATATATATATATATATATATATTACAGATTCATGTAACCCTAAGCTCGCCATGTGGTATGCCGGAAATCTGTGTCCTCTGCGCAATACTCGTCCGATAACCCTAATGACAGCCGAGTTAAGGCTGACCGTCACCGCCGCCCTTCCAGAACGGTTAAGATAAAGTTCGATCGACAAACTTCACCTTCTTGCCTTGACAGTTCAAGCGCAGACGATAACGTCGCGATTATGAGCCAAAACACGCATGTATGTGTGTGTGTCTGCATAGATATAGGTAGATATAGATCAATGTGTGTATGTGTGTAATCATAATAATATATATATTATATATATATATATATATATATATATATATATATATTTATATTAGATATGTATGTATGTATGTATGTATATACATGCATATATATACATATATATATGTATATGTATACACACACACACACACACACATATATACATGTGTGTGTGCGTGTGTGTGTGTGTATTTGTGTGGGTGTGTTGAAAGAACATCTTGTTTATCATTATGCCTGACTAACAGAATGCTTATTGACCGTCCTGCAGTTAGTTTAAGACCTTGTACACTGAAGAGCCAATCGCTTCGGACTCTGGCACAGCTATCTTAGTGTTTACAAAATACCCGTTAGTCATCCTGCTTCATTGCAAGCCAAGCTTATATGCTTAAGTACATGTCATATTTATATATCTATCAATTTATCCACACACACACACACACGCACACACACACACACACACACACAACACACACACACACACACACACACACACACAACACACACACACAACACACACATATATATATTATATATATATATAATATATTATATATATATATATATATATATAATATATATATATATGGACAAGTTACTGTTTGTATATCATTATCTTTTTCTGTACTTATTCTCACTTAGCATGCCCTACTATCGAGATAACCTATCTCGATAAGCTATCGCTACCTCTTGCAGTGTTTAAAAGATAGCAATTATGAAAAGATCTGAAAGGACATGTACCGCTGCACAGACACTCTCCCGTGTGTCTGCCTCAGCTGTGGTTTCTAAGAGTAACTGGGCGCGGGTTCCGATGAGATGACCTTTGCTTGCGGTTCAATGTTAAGAATGTTAAGGAGGATGTCTTTTCAATGAAGATGTGGTATTCTAATATTTTGAAACAAAAAAATAACGCATAACAGTGTATTAAAAAAAAAGTGAATGGGAATAATTTCATAACTGAAAATACATGTCTCTTCTGATTAATTTTAAGTATATACTTATCATTGGTTAGGAGACACACAGTCACTTGACACCCATGATAAAATAAACCGGAGAATGTATTATATATATATATATATATATATATATATAATATATATATATATATATATATATATATATATATATTGATAACCCAGAGAGTCGTCGCTTTCACTCTCATGCAGAGCGAGAGGAGAAGGGTATAGGTAGGCCAACGAGCCATCTTTATGTTTTATTCTGTATATGAAAAATTATCAATGCGACATATATATATGTATATATATAAATGTGTTTATATGTGTGTGTGTGTGTGTGTGTGTGTGTGTGTGTGTGTGTGTGTATTTGTGTGTGTTTGTGAGTCTGTGTGGTGCATGTACAGAGTTCTTCCCTAATATATACAGCAGTATGACTGAAGTCACTGAATGCGGAAGGAGACAGGAAGCCCCTTGAGCTGCCGTCGCTCGTCCTCGGAGGGGGCGTGGCAGGAGCGCACCTCCAGGAGGCCTCCCGCGGCGAAGGATACCTTGGCCGCCCGCAGAGCTGTGGGGATAGGATGGCGCGTGTAGGCGTGGCCTCAAATCATTGCTATCATTATCATTACTTTCATTATCATTCTTACTATTATTATTTTTATTGTTATTACAAATATTATCATCCTTTTTAATGACTATGAAGATATAACTGATGATAATCATGATACTACTACAATCAAAAATATGTCTGGGAGATATGTTTTGATGACACATTTGCTTCCAGATGAATTTTAACAAATAAAATAACAATTTTGCTAATAACGGAAACTCCGATAGAGCCTTACCTCCGAGCAGAGCGAGCGCCCCACGCCCCGTCAGGGAGCTGTGGAAGAGCTTGACCTTGGCGTAGGGGCGCCGCGAGAGACTCGAAAGGGCCTTCCTCACCCACGCCGTGCTGAAAGGGAACACTTCCTTCGTCAGCGTCGCCTCTGATGTGATAGACTCACTAATAATTAAACACTTTTAGATTGCCGGAATGAGCTGAATGGCTATAGCTGCTTGTTGATACTGTTAAAACCACTATTACTACTGCTCAATGACTGTTGTTACCGCTATTATTATTCAACTACAACTGTTATTGTTGATTGTGGGATTGGTGATGATAATGACGGGTGTGGAGACTTTAATGATAATTCTGATAATACTAGTCCTTATTAGCATTGCCATTATCATTATTCTGATAATTATTATCATCGCTATTATCATTATCATAATCATCATTATGATGATAACGAAAATAATAATTACCGTTATCATTATTATTGTTATTATATTTGTCTTTATCATCGTCGCCATTATCATCAACAGCGTTATTATAATTGTTTTCATCATCAATCCTATCTTCATTATCATTTTCGTAATTATCATTATTATTATTGTCATTATTATCCTTATCACCAGTATTATCATTGTTCTTAGTATCATTATTATCGTCTGTCTTTGTTATGATCATAATTATCACCTTTGTTATGATCATTATCATCATCTTCGATATTGATATCATTATCACTCTTAAAATTATTATTACTATCGTCACTTTTATTGTTATAATCATCGTCGTCATTGTGATCACCTCTATCATCATTATTATCATAGTAGCAATAGCAGTAGTAAAGGATCATGTCCCACATCACTACCACTACTAATGCAATAGCTCTGCAACATACCTGTCGTCGCAAATCTTGCAGAAATCGACGATTAACTTGCGTTGGTGGAAGTCCAGAGACGGCAAATTCTCTGTACTTCTGTCCACACGCAGGAAAACCTCTAGAAAGGCGTCAGAATATGTTTACCACTGCTTGACATTATGTATTTGTGTTGAGCCATTGCCTTGACGTCAGTTGTGTTTTGATATATAGATAAGTTGTATAAGAAGCCGTCTACCCAACAGAAAAAGCTATCAATAAGAAAATGTGCTTACCTAGAGTCTCAAGGTGCTTCATTTTAGGGAGAACGCTGACCAGGGTATCTAATTCGTGGCGGCCGACCTGCAAGGCGAGGGTGTGCAGTGTGCTTGGTAAATGCGATATCATGCTGCTGGATAAGTAACCAACGAACCCCCTGACGACAGCAGAGCCTTGGAGAAGAAAACGCAGAAGGTTGTCCGCATTTCTGCTCCTGCCCATCACAAAGTAGTAATTCAGGCTGAGAGAAATCGAGACTGGCTTGCCAGCGACCTTTCTCAGTACTTCGCAAAGAACAGGTATCTCTTCCGGAGGCTTCTCCAGGCTGTTCACGGTGACATAAAGACTCTTTGGGAAGGTCACGTGCAGGAGGGTTTTCAGGGCGGGCAGATGGACCTCCTTAACGTCCCACCTGTCCTTCCTCAGCGCTGTGCGGCCGACAGCCTCTGTCAGCACTTCGTGGCACAGGGCCTCTTGCAGGAGGTCCAGCCACTCACTGGTTTCGGTTATGCCTGCCCCAGAAGCTTGCTGAATTATAAACTCGGTGTTCTCAGCCAGTGCATGAGACAGCTTCTCTGCCAGCAGACCTAAACAAATCATTGACATGATAAGCAAAGAATATGAGTTTATAGGGTTTAAGGTTATCATATCTAATTCAGCCTTTATATAAAACCATGCCTGGATCAGACGTGCATAAGAGATAGCTTACACTTATGTAAACGGTGATCTCATCTAAGGGTTGAGAGACTCACCTGCCGTGAAGAAGACCACGTCATGGAAGGGAGAGCCCACGCAACTCTGGCTCGAATCCGTACCAAGCACCGGCTGGAATGTGGCAAGGTAGCACATATGGCAAGCAGCTCTGAACTCTTGAATGCTTTTTTCCCCGAAGGAGTAGCTGCGATTTCCTGCCGAAATTTGGCACTTCAAAAACGCCGAGAACATCGTTTCCGCCGGCAAGCCGAGACTCCTACATTTCTCAGCGAGCCTGGTCATCGCACTGGGCGCCAAAGTCGTCTCACCAAGTTGCAGGCTTTCGAAAGCGAGGTTGTTGAGCAGCTTGATGAACCCTGAGCAAAGAAAACTGAGCTCCTCCCCGGATAAGTTTGTGTATTCCGGGAGGCTGGCAAGATGGTTCACCAGTCTGAGAATTCTGAACTTCTCCAGCTGCGCGAAAAAGCCTGTGCCCGTCGTGAGGTGTCTCATCATTGCAGGATTGTACACACTGAGCAGAATGAGTATCGCCAAGTTGAAGGGTGAAGTGAAATTCTTTTTGCACCAGTCGCCAAGGTTTCTGAAGTAGGTGTACAGCCATTCTCTGTTTTCCTTGTTCCTGTGCGGACTCACCAGGTTCTCCAGATACTTCACAATGAAGTTGGTTCGGGACGCAGGTGCCACGCCTGTCATCCTGAACACCGTAAAGGACAGGCAAGCATCTGCAACCTTCCTACGTATCCTGTTGAGACGAAAGGGCCGCGTTGCACACACGATGCGGACGCTGCAGGATGCAAGAGAGAGGATCTCTTCCAACAAGGCACCTGAGCTCTCATTAAGTTCCTCGAAGCCGTCAACAAGAAACAGGATTTTGTGGCTGAGAATGAATTGTTTGAATCGGGCATTGTCGTGTGTTTTGGCACTCATGGTGCTAGGCAAAAGCTGGCCGAGTAACTGGCTGAAAGATCTGTTAGTCTCATGACACTCTGTCTTGAAGATCAGGTCAAAGTCAGCCACAGTGCTTGCAGGGGAGCCTCGGGAGGTCCAGTCTGCGATTAGCTTTTTATAGAGGACTGTCTTGCCGCTTCCACTCTCCCCGTTTATGATGACGACGCTCGGCAATGTCCCATTCAGCGTGGATCTCAGAAACGATTCCCGACTTTCTCTTTTATTTGATGCCGGGTCCTCATGCTGCATCTTAATTCTGAAAGAGGTTGAGTCAGAAGCTATGAAGTAACTTCCAAAATCAGTTCCTGATCATCCTAGAAACGTTTGACATTCAAAAATGACTTTCATGGACGGAGAAAGGTGAAAATAGATGGTGCAACGCCAAGAGAATATGGATGATGAGGATGCCGTAGCCACAGGACCACACTTCCATCTGGGCAGTGTGTGAGTTGTCAACAACGATGCTGTCTTTTAGGAGTTAGAAAAGTTTGGTCAACATTTAGTGCCTTTTAATTTTGATGGCCTCCCACAATTTGTGTAGCAGTGAAGCGTAATGAGCGTCTGTTATTGTAGGACCTTTTGCCACGAAATCCATCGCCACTGCTCCATACTTGTTCCAAAAGACTGAGCGTGGCCGAGGATGTGAAATGTAGCCTATTTTAGGGGGGGGGTACAATCAAGTGCTTCCATTGTTTTAACTACAACTTAGAATTCTGGATAAAGTGATAGATCCAAGTTTCGTCCTGTGTAATTAGAAATTTTTAAATGAAGCCCCTCGTATTTCTGTTTATATACAAATATATATTTGAATGTGTGTGTTTGTTGTAAGTGTATACACAACACACACACACAACACGGCACACCACACACACACACACACACACACACACACACACACACCACACACACACACACACACACACACACACACATATTATATATATATATATATATATATATAAATATATATATAATATATTATAATATTAATTATATATATATATATGTATGTATATATATGTTATATATACAAAGACACACACACCTACACACCTACACACCTACACACACACACACACACACACACACACACACACACACACACAACACACACAGACACACACACCACACACACACACACACACACACACACACACAAACACACAGACACAGACACACAAACCCACACACACAGC